ATTTCAATATTTCCTCCTGATTTTCATATTTCTTTTGTATTTATTTAAGCGTTTTCCATTTCACCAAGATTCTTAATATTTATTTTATTATTATTAGTTTTTTTTTTTAATTACATTATTTTCCGATCACCGCAAAGTTTAAACATCTTAAATTCCTATCGAGTCGAATTCAGAGAGTTTTTCCTCTCTGTCGTTATTAAAAAATAAAATAAAATTTGTATCTCTTTACAATAGGTTTTTCTTTTTTGGTTTCGTGCTCAACGAAATTTGCCACATCAGTATTACTACCTACTTTAACAAGTGATTAGTTTAACCGTCGATTAAGCCGCATCGATTAAGAAAATAAACGGTTTTTTTTTTATATATATTTCGTTTTGTACATGGATTATTGTGTCTAAAATTATTCAGTTTACGTGGGCTAAATTGAAGCAAATCGTTATTATTTTTGTTGGTTTTTTTTTCCTGTTACTTTTATATATATTTTTTTTTGGTTCCCAACCTCTGCAAATCTGCAAAAGTAAACCTTGATTGATTAATTGATTTTTTTTTTAAATTAATTAATTAACAGATTGAAGGAATCACGTACATTTTCCCAAAAAAGTTGATACAGTAAAAGTCTCCTAAATTAATCGGACGGAAAGACAACTTATTGTTTTTAACTAAGTCAATTATTACTTTAAGATCTTACGCTATTCGCAACTCATCCTATATAATGTTAAGATCATAACTTTAACTTAAGTTTACATTAACTCAACGTTGGATAAAGTTGCGCTTGATTGATAATATTTTATGATTTTTCGTCAATTTACTAAACTCATTTATATCACTTACAATAATCGCCGTTCATAACTCAACCAATTCTAATGTTAAGTCTACAAATTAAGTTCATTATGAAAATTCGAGCAATTAACATCAAACGTTAAATCTATAATTTTATATAAAATTTAACATTAGAAAAAGTTGTGTAATTAAGATTTAGAGATTTTCGACGTAATTTTTAACAGCCTTAAAAATTGTTTACAAAAATCAAGAGATTCATACGTTACATCTATAACGTTTGTTTTTTCATTTTTGGAGAAAGTGTTCATTTTCATATATCACTTGGTCTATGTTAACATACATAAAGCAGTCTTAATAACGCGAAACTGGGATTCAAATATTACAACTATAACTTTAATTTAAGTTAACTTAAAATTAGACAAGGATGTAATTAAATTTTCTTGAAGTATTTATATATCACTTGCTCTATATGTTACACATATTATAAATCACATGTTAAATCTATAGCTCGTTTAAACTAAAGATCGTGTTAACTTAACGTTAGATAAATTTATGATTTTTTTTTGTCTTTACATTTAAAGAGTGTCGTTAATATCACTATGTCTCCTCCGTCCATTTAACAATGCTAAAACGTTCTTTATTACGTGCGAGGCTGGGATCCAATAATATCAACGTCTTATTTGTCATGTCTATATGCAAGATCACTAACTTAATACTGTCTTGGATGCATACTAAAGCTTGGATTTGGATGGTTTTGAAATGCACGAAAGAGATTTGATTTCTGTTCATCATTATTGTGAGCATTCTATTATAATTTGTAATATTAACAATGTTTTAGCTATAGTTAAGTGCAGATTTTTATGATTGAAAATAAATATTATAGTTTTGTAATCAAATCTATTTTAAATTTTAATTTGGAAAAGTTAAGTGACGTTTAAGATGTCATAATGTCATTTTAAGTAATTTCCACGACGCACGTTGCTTAACTTTCGTAAACTGTCAAATATTGACATCAACGTCACTTGTCGTTATGTCAATATGAAGAAAGTGTAGACATAACACTTTTTTTCATTTCTTTTATAATAGATTTATAGTGTTAACTTGAATGGGAAGACTTTGATTTAATGCTTTCATCAAAAAGTTGTTAATATTTGTAACAAATGTTATAAAGTTCTTACATAAATTACATCCAATCAATCAGAAAATCTCTCTCTTGCAAATTTCAGAACCACCGACCAAAGAAACAAAATCTAAACAAAAGAAAATGAAAAATAAATAAATTAATAATTTATTAAGATCAAAAATATATGTATATAAGTAATGATAAAGCCAAGAGAAGAAAAAAAAAATCAAAAAAATAAATAATAGGAGTTGAAACAAATAAAAAAAAATAATTATAACCGGTGACCATTTTTAATAATTTGGTGACGACACGAAACAATATACAAGAAAAAAAACAACGAAACAAGAAAAAAAAAACAAACGATTAACACAGTCGAATTCGTAACAATGTGAGAAAAACAAATAAATAATTATATGCAACAAATTTTAATCGTCAATGAAATTTTTTTAACTTTTCTTTACTATTTTTTTTATTTAATTATTTCTTTAAGTAGCGTGTGTATCATTCTTCATATCATCTCAATATAATTTATATATGTATTTAAATATATATATATTTATAAGTTTTGTAAAGATTTGTCTTTGTACTATAGAATCCCTAAAGCTAAAACAGAAAAAAATTAAATAAATAAAGGCCTACCCGATAGAGAAAGAGAGATAAATAAAGATTGAAACAAACAGTAAACAATAATAATAATAAATCTATTAGAAATTTCGTTAAATCTGCCGTAGTATGATCATATTTGTTTTTTTTGGTTCATTTTCTGCTTGAGTAACAAACAAAAAAAATTAAAGGAAAATCATAATAATTAATATAATACATCGTTTAAAGAGTGACAAAAAAAATATGGTAATAATAATGAGAGAGAAATAGAGAAAGAGTGTGTTAAATATAAGTGTTATTTAAGAAAGAGGAAAAGGGGATATTATTTAATAGTTACGTGAGAAAACTCTTTTCTTGTGTTACAGTTCACTCGACAACTTCTCTATGATCCCGTTTAGCACGTTTCACTACTACCCAAACCGTACTAAGCAGTACGTCGTCAACCAAGGAAAACTTAACGTGTTTCGAAAAAGAAAAGAAAAAAATGAATTATTTTTGTTTGCAGTAACTTAAGAAGCTTCGCTTGAATCATCAATTAATACCAATCCCTGACCCACTCCCCCCTATGACTATGTACTTTGCTGCAAGAGGGGAAAAATTAAGAATAAGAAAAAAAATTATATATATAATACGATACAACAATCAATAAAAATTACCACTAAAAGTCGACGATTGACGATTTTGTTAAGTGTATATATATATAATGTATACGCGTAATCGATTAGCTTTCAAAGTGTTGTTAACTTTCTTTTTCCTACTGTGGAGAGATAGAGATAAAGATGTGTGAAATAGAGGGAAAATAATATTCCGTTGAGATAAAAAAAAAATAATAATTGGGGGATATAGTGGAGAGAAATAATATTAATAATAGTAGTAGTAATGTTAAAAATAATACGTGGAGGAGAGCTGCGGAGAGTAGTTACAAGAAGAGGCTGCATTTGGCTACCGTGCTGAACGACGAGATGGTACGAGGTTCAGCTTTCGTTATTCCTCGTCGGTGTCGCCCTCGCTGGAATAGTCTTGAATTGGAATGGGCCGCACGAAGGGCGCCGATGTCATCTGCCTATAAAAAGAAACGGAGCAATCTCATTGGTCGGCTGTCGTCGATGGGCGTGTTCTTGGTTTTAATTTGATTTTGATTGGGGCAGTGGAATGTAAAAGTAGGCGTGGCTTCTCAAAAGCTGAGTCTAAGATGAAAGCGGTTACTCCCCACCCCACACCGTGACAGGTCAGTCAACGTACACAATTGTGGACAAAACAGAACAGCGAGCAACAACAAAAGTTGGAGGTGGTACAAAAACAAATTGGTGAGTTGTTAAAAAAATAAAAACATAATGTCTTTACCGGATAATGTCTTACATAATTTCAGAGCGGGCACGGAGGACGCACGTTCGATTCACAATCTGCGGATATTTTCGTTGCATTAAAAGAAAAATTATAACAGAGAACCAGATGGAATGTTCATGATTTTAGTCTCAATAGGTTGTCGCTTTTGTAGTCTTTCTGTCTACAATTAATTATATTTTTCATAATTAAAAAAAAACTAAATAATTATAATAAAAATAATAATATGAAAGAAAATACTGAATATATTTTAGTGAAAAGTTTGCAACAACCTATTTTCATATGAATGCCGCGTTCATAAACTAGTTGTACTGTATAAAAATCGACTTCTTTATGTAATTTCATTACAACGCGCATGAACTTAAGATTACGAATAAGCAAAAAGATTGAAGACTTACGCTAATCTTCGATAATGGTTTAGCCATTCTTCAACCATTTGAGCAACAAGCAAAGGCCTCTTGTGTAGCAGCTGCTGTGCCACCAGGATACCTCCTTCCGTCTCGCAGACATCCAACCATTGCCGCAGAATCGTCTCCTCGCGGCCCAACTATAATAACAAACCATTACAATTAGTACAATTCATGTCAATATTTGTTTCTCTTAACCCAAGGTCAGTATTTCAGTATACGGTTAAACGAAAAATACAAGTTCAAATAAACCATTATTTTTTTCGTACCTTTGATAATCCCAGTACTATAATGAAAAAGTTTTTAGTTAAAATAAATAGCAATTAACAATAAGTAATATAGATAAAACTTAATTATAGTTTAAGCAGGAGTAAATTTAAATTGTATATAAAATTAGTGAATGCATATTTTCTAATGATATTCATATGAGATTTTTAGTAATATTTTGAGAAAAAATATTTTCATCTTAGGTGAAAATTATGGAATTTCAGCAAAATTAATTTATGGAATGCAACATGCAATTAAAAAATGTTCTATGTATGAATATTTACCTCTGCTTCCGTCAAGAAATGGATGGGTAGGATTTTTCTGTCCCTGTCCATGAGCGGTAGAAAGGTGCTCTGCAATTGGTCAGTCTGTTGAGTCGAGGGGCGTGTATCCAGACGACTGTAGGGCTCTAAAGGTACCAGCGCGGAAAAATGTCCACGCGTGTAGCCAAGGGCGATGGGTGTACGTATGCAAAAGCTTTGCTCCCACAGCAGAGGTAAATAAACGCCTACGCAAATAACATTAGTAAGTATGGTGTTAAAGGTGAAGTATGAAATCCCACCTTCAAATCGAGCATATCCTAAAGCTTCGCCGCGAAAGCTCTTTACGTATTTGACGCCGTAGATGATGATGGGTCTTCGAAGGATGTGTGCTAAGGCGAAAACATGCAGCTGCTCGAGACTGTTGCCCGGCTGACTAGCCAGGGATAATAAACTGCTCCAATCTTCCTCCCACTGTCCCTCCTCCAGAGAATACTGAAGAAAAGAGGCGTGGCTCGCTTCGTACTCCTTCCAGCGTGGATAAAACCTGAGCGAAAAGCAACGAATGAAAATTTGGTATTTACATTGAAATTATCCATCTTACACTCTTCCGCTTTGGCTCAAGCTCTCGGCCAAAGCCCTGCGTAATGTGTTGTCTCTATCGAAAACGCCCCACGTAGCTTGCATCACAGAATCTAATAAACAATCACCGGCCGAACGGTTCCAAAGCGCGTACAACCTGGAACCCAGACGGACAGTCAACTCCAAAGACCAGTTAATCACAGCCGGATCGGTTTCCAGCTGCTCCTGCGCGTCCTTATCCAGCAGCTCGGTGAAGAGCTGCTCCTGGACGGGACCCGGCAGCTCGTCCACCTCTAAAATGATCCCGGGATTAGTAATGCATACTGATATCGGACCTGGCGATGTGGTGCGCACCGGCGGGTAACGCGAACGTCGGCAGCTCGGTCACGTAATTGCATGGGAAATGGCCCTTCCGTTGTCGGATGGTCGAGGTGAAGTGTCTTCGGATGTCGGCTGCTAGATCGGGTGCCACGTAGCTGGGAACCCGCTTAACTCCGCTGCCCGAACCCTCGATCTGAGAAAGCAGTATCGCCAAAAGATCTTCCTTCTGGAACCTACGAAACGGCACTTAGTATATCGTCGGATTCCGGAATGGCGCAGAGTTTTACCGTATGGCCAGATGCACAAGGGTGTGGCCAACGTCGAAGGCGGATGATCTATTGAGGATTGCCACTTCGGAGGCGGTCAGAGTCCTCGTGGGATCACCTCCTGATGACAGGTACGCTTCTACAGGGTTTGGATCACCGTCGATGACTCCTAGACACGCGTTCAACCAACTCCAGTCGGCCTGTCGCTTCAGGTGACGCAGTTTACGTTCGTATTCGCAATTGTTCGGACTTTGTGACATCGTAGATTCTGCATTAAAAAAAAACAAACATCAATAATTACATAAGAAATAATACATACGCCCACCCATCAATTAAATTAAAATAGTCATTCAAATTCCTATTGTATTCCAAATGTAAATTGCTGCAATGACCTTCACGGTCAATGAAATTCGAATAATGACTTTTACAATATCGACGTACATTTAAACCGCAAACATTAATTGCATATTCCATATTATTTTCACAAATTTTTGATAACATGTAAAATATTTAGAAATAAATAAAAAAAAAAGTATTTTCTATTTATTTTAGAATGTAAGTAATAATTTACTTTAACTTTCTAATGGTAAATGGCTGCGCTAGAGGAATGCCGAAGATGGACGGAAACGACCGAACGAAACCACACGTGCTTGCTTTTACATCCCGCAGATTCCAACAGGGAGCTGGCAGCTCGAAAGGTTTTAAACTCAAGAGCCAAAAATATAAGCACTTCGAATGCTCATATAATTGCTTCCTTGGCAAAAACCATGGATAATAAATATATTATTGTCATTTTTAAACTCACAATACGCAATTTGATTATTTTATATTACCAAGTCTAAATAGAATCCCATGAGATGAATAAACTGTTTCTTACCTATCATGTTATTTGATGTTCCTCTAATCCTGTCTTCTTTAAAACACGCATCGATATCTCTATCTGGTGAAGGCATAATTAGACTAGACGCTTGTGAACGGAGACTGTTATTTGGTAGACTTCCGCACATTGCACATTTCGTAGATTTCGGCCAGTTTTCGTAAGTACATATCTACGGATTAACGAGTCATTAGATTCGATAATTACAGCCGATCCCAATTATACTACTTACAAAGCAAGTCCACTTGATCTCCTTCGTCCTGCGACTGTTTTCCAGATTGGTGACGCTCGCCGGAGGACTGTTGTTCCTCGATCTGGACAAGCTCTGCGCCAGATCCGAGTGCTGCGTGATCTTCAGTGGTTGGATGTGCTCATGCAGATTATTCGCATTGGTGTGTCTGCTCTTACCGCACTGCGAGCACGTCTTCTCCTTAAGAGCATTCAGATAGGTGCAGGCTTCACATGACCACTTGTTCGTAGGTTTGTTCTCGCACGAGCTGGTTGCAGTGCTGCTGATCTCGTTGCTTCCTCCTCCATCGTACAAACCGAAGATGTCCTCGCTCTTGAAAGGCCTCGGGCCCCGGCACATCGTGCATTTTATAGCGCACGGGAAGTTTTCGTACGTGCAATAATCACAGATCCATTTTTGATCGGCCTTCTCGCTCATCGTAATCACACGCCAATTGTTTAATTGTATTCTTCTATATATACATACATACACTCTTCTCTATATGTGCATATATATATATACTTAAATACACTATATATATATATTATAGATGATTAATTTCTCTGCTATTTAAATATAAATAATTCTCGATAGATAATTATATAATAGAAATCTCTCTTAATATGTCCTGTGTTTATATTTGCTTTTGTTACTTAAGGGTTTTGTTTGCTTGCTTGTTGCGGTTTCTCGGAAAAAAGTTATTGGATTTGTCATGAATTTACCATGGTTTCAGGTGTGATGGTGGGCGGCTTCGGAGCGCAAAACGAGCGAAATCAATCAAACCAATTTCACTTTCATTTTACTCATATCCGCTGCAAATCTGAAACAGACCAACAAAATATGCCATCAAAACTAACTGCAAATCTCCAGATGACAACACATTCTTGGCTGCACCGCATACACAAACACTTATTGCATGCACTTACTGACATCACCAATCACAAAACAAACAACAGTTCTGGGACAGGGATAGAGATGCAATGGTCTGCTTTGCTGGTGGCAATCCGATTTTAATTATTTATATACATATTGGCATGCAGATGAAGCTGGCACAGTGCAAGGCACTTATACACACAAACACACACACTAACAGGGGAATTCTATAATTGTGAGTCAATGCCAATGTCAAGTGGGCAAAATAACAACAGATCTTGTCAAATGGGGGTGCGGGTGTGTGCATTGCATGTGGTGTGCTCCCAATCGGATTAGATGTTTTGGATTTAGATGGGGGGAAAACTGCTGGAGAGCAGTGGATGTATATACAAAACAACAGTCCTCTCACCTTCAAAATTAGGGTCAAAATAATGTTATTGTAGTAAAAGGCACGATGAGTAATGTTATGTGTATGTATGTAAACAAATAATTTAGATACCATCGGTACGTTCTACGGTACGGCAGCTGTCAACTGAATCTTTCTAATTTGGCCCTAAACGTCAAAAATTTAGATTATATTTTGATAAATGTTTGTCACCTGTCAGTTCCGCTGTCAACTTGACATTCTCTTCAGGCCTGCCAAGTCTTATTGAAACTCTACAGTTTGTCCACCGATGGCGCAGCCATCTACAACGTTAAGTGTGTGGCCTCACTGACAATTAGCGCCAACCAATTTAAATTTTGAAATTTTCTAATTCACTTTAATAATTTATTACAGAATAATGGTAAATACCAGAAATCTGGCTATAGCGTAATTTTAAAGGTGATATTTTTATCTACAGTTTGAACATTTTATGATCTGAGTAGTGTTTGTGGTTATCAAATAATTAAATAAACCATTATTTAACATTATGTAACAATTGTTATAACAACTGAGGCGTAATAGTACTTAAATAATTCTGAAATATATAAGAATTATAACACTTTTTACATTAATCGGTAATATTAACCTTGTTTTCTCATTGTTTTTTTATAATATTTCGAAAAGTCTTTAAATCCTATTTATTAATTAATGATTCTTACAAATGCTCATATCAAATGATGCAAACTTAAAGTGTTAATTGCGAATGTAATTAACAAAAATTTAAATGTTCTATTTGGATCAAATATTGCAATTTCAATGTTAACAGCTTATTACAAGAATTAAGTAAATAACCTAAATCTAGAAAAATTTTATCTTTAATTTATATATTTTATAAAATATTTACTGTTTCAGTAATGAAATAAAATGTAAAGTCATGTTCATGCACTTAAATTTGACAGGTTATTTCTGAAGAAATAGTAAAAATCACAAATATCTAGGTGGGCTCGTTAGAAAGTTCTTAGTTTTATCTTTAATTATCATTTTTGATAATCTAATTAGTTTAGATAGTTATAGAGTAATAATATAAAATATGAACATATATAAAAATATCGAAAAATAGCAATATTTCAGTTATTAATTGATATTACGTAACAAAAGATATATCAAAATATGCACAATTAAAAACTACTTCTTTTGCAATCATAAAATATGTACAAAGTTTCATGAATTTACAAATAATCTGAAATATTAAAAATCTTATTAGATTATTGTATTTTCAAATTTTCTTAATTGTATAATAACATTTCCACAAGAATTGAGCAAATACCCTAAATCTAGAAAAGACCATAGTTTCATCTTTAGTTTACATGTTTTATAAAATAATTATCGATTTTGATTATTGAGTAATGACAAAATGTAAAGACTAAGCATTTTCATGCACTTAAATTTGACATAGTAAAATTCACAAATATGTCTGTGGCCTCATTAGAAAGCCCATAGTATTGTATTTAATTATAATTTTGGATAATTCAATGAGTTTACATAGTTATAGAGTAGTTAAATAAAATATGAAAATCTATAAAAATATGGAAAAATCGCAATATTTCAGTTATTAATTGATATTACGTAACAGAAGTTATATCAAAAAATGCACAATTAAAAACTACTTCTTTGACAATCATAAAATATGTACAAAGTTTTAAGAATTTAGTGAAAATTTGAAATATAAAAAATCTTATTAGATTATTTTATTTTCGAATTCTCTAAATTTTTCATAATAACATCTCCACAAGAATTACGCAAATACCCCAAATATAGAAAAGACCGTAGTTTTATGATGAATTTACTTGTTTTATAAAGTAATTACCGTTTTTGATTATTGAGTAATGAAATAAAATGTAAAGACTAAGCATTTTCATGCACTTAAATTTCACAGGTTATTTCTGAATAAATAGTAAAAATCACAAATATGTAAGAATGTTCTTAGTTTTGTCTTTAATTATAATTTTGGATAATCTAATTAGCTTAGATAGTTACAGAGTAATTAAATAAAATATGAAGATGAATAAAATTAGAGAAAAATTTAAATAATTCAGCTATTAATTGATATTACGTAACAGATGTATTATAAAAATAAGCACAATTAAAAACTACTTCTTTTGCAATCATAAAATATGTACAATGTTTTATGAATTTAAAGAAAATTTAAAATTTTATTTACGAATTCTCTAAATTTTATAATAACATTTCCACAAGAATTGAGCAAATATCCCAAATCTAGAAAAGGCCATAGTTTTATCTTAAATTTACATGTTTTAAAAATAATTACCGATTTAAAAAGTTTTATGATTTCAGAAAAAATCTTATCAGATTATTTTATTTTCGAATTATCTAACTTTTTTATAACCAAATTTCTGATATATTTTTCAGATTTAAATTAATTAAACATTATTTACCTCAAAAATTGTATTTCCAAATCAATATCTTATTTACAACTGCGATTAGTTATTTACAACGTTCAATTTTAAACATTTTATGAAGTTGATCATAAAACGAACTTTCCCATGACGAAATTTAAAGTGTATTTTCTTCATTCATTAAGTGTTGATAACTTATCATTTGTTTACTTGTACTTAATGAATGTATTTAATTTTTGTATAATTTATAAATAGGTAATGCAAAATATATTTTGCAATTCTAACTAAATTATTTATTTTTTTGTATTAAATTGAATCTATATCGCAAGCCCGACAACCGAAAACCGTCTATTAAAATCCCGACGTTCGAAATTCCGACTGTATCGAAATCCCGACGTTCGAAATCCTGACTGTATTAAAGTCCCAACGCTTGAAATCCCGACTATATCAAAATCCCGACGACCATAATCCTGACAATCAAAATCCTCACTATATCGAAATCCCGACTACCATAAAAATGTTATTGTATTTAAAAGACACTGTCGGGATTTCGATATAGACGGGATTTTCATTGTCGGGATTATGGTTGTCGGGATTTTGACATAGTCAGGATTTCGATATAGTTGGGATTTTGAGCCAGCCGTGATTGCGAACGTCGGGGTTTCGATATAGTCGGGATTTCGATAGACGGGATTTCGGTTGTCGAGCTTGCGATTGCCACCAAATTGAATTACGTTATTCCATGTTTCAAAGTTAAGTAGGTTATAATAATAATAAGAAAATGTTTCCACTGTTATTTACCCTAAGATTATTTAAACGTTAATTAGAAACCAAGGACAGACGTACACTAAGTCAATAATTTATTGTTATTAAATTCTGCAATCTCTGCAATTATCACTCATATCTCCATAACACCGCAAACAATTGTTTGTTTATTTTTTTTGGTAATATTGCATTGTTTCTCTAACAATAACAATAGCTGCACAACATGAGTATATTGATTCGCATCCCAAAATCTGCAAAATTTGCTAATCTTATCACAGACTCACGTAGAGAGAAATTATCTGGAAATAAGTAGTCACATAGTTTTGATAAGATCAGTTATCCACACGTCTATTAGCTGAATGAATTAAATAATTGTTCTTATTTAACGAACAAAAAAATCACAGTAAATTAACAACAATATTATTTTGTTTTAAATCACAAGATTTAAAATTTATTAAAATTGTTTGTTTTTAAGTAAATTAGAATATTTTAAATGTAAAATTAATCAATAAATTTTAATTGTATTATATATATAAATAATTCAACGTTTTAATACAACAATAATTTTAGTTTAATTTCTGAAGGTAAGAAGATTGTTTGGTTGCCTAACCGAATTACTAATTAAATTTAAAAATAAACATATTTTGTTTTTTTTTATTGAAACAAATTGAAAGTAACCTAGGTAATTAATCTATTTAATTTAATTTAATCAAATAATTGAAAGAATTAAATTGAACTCTTAGATTTGAAGAAGTTTAAGAAAAGTAATGAAAATTGTTTGAATTTCAATTTTGTTTGTTGCAAAATTATTTCGTAATGTGGTTTTTACCTTTTACATAATCGAATGTGGAGTGCCGATAATCGGTGTTAATGTGTTTGCACTGAAACTGAACGCGTTTGCTCGACATTCATTGAAATGCAAACTTGCATCGTGCATATTACGAGCATATTATATTCTAGAATGTTACGTCAAATGTATATTGAGATATTTAAAGATATGAAAAACGAAATTTCAAAATTTTCAACATTTGGACATTTTATAAAAAGTTTTTTTAAATTGATTTAAATTTAGGTAATAATGGTTTGTAAAGTTTTTTTTAACAAATTGTTAATGTGAAGATATTTTATAATGGTACAATCTCAAAATAAGAAATATTCATGTTTTTAAAGAAATTTCCAATGTATTTTTTATAAAGTTACTTCAGTTTGTAAAATTTTAATTTGAGAAAAAAATTGATAAGTTTTGTATTAATCTATGTCTATACCAAGGGTGGCCAGACTTTTTGCAGCAAGGGCCGCACCTAAACTTTTTGGTATAATAATTTTAAAAAATCATAATATAAAATAAATGTGTTTCTCAAGAGCCGCGAGCCACAGTTTGGCCACCCCTGGTCTATATTATTTGATTAACTTTTGTTTTGAAGAAGATTTGTTATTTTGGAAATATTTAATAAACACTTAAAGCTGCAATTGACTTTAAAACAGATAAGAATATTTGTGATCATATTTATTACACGATTGTTGTAATTTCAAATTTGTTAACCGTAATCCACTTCCTTTTGTTGTTAATTGATCGATTTTCTTAATAATTATAGAAATTTTGTAATTATTTTATACAAAATTGAAGAAAAAATGTAATTAATATATTAATATTATAAAATTTATATGAAATAATTCAATATGATCACAAATTAATAAAAATACTGAAAAATATTATAAAATAATAAGAAGAAGTCATTCTAACTGTCAAAAGTGAAATCATAATAATTGGTTAATTTCATAAATTGTAAAGCTTGGGCAATTTTTAGAAGTATAAAAATTGGGGTCGTTTTTCGTACAATACGAACTGGAAATACGGGTATTTAAGATGTGAACGAGGCCCTTCTGGCAGGTATTTAAAAAAAAGTTACAAAAGAATTGCAAAGAAGGGAATGTTAGAATTCCCACTGCGCCTAGTAGCCGGCCAAAATGTATGATAAAAGGTAAAATTTATTGATCTTTGATGACAGTTCTTGTTGCTATAACAACAAAATTAAATAAAATCAA